TGACATTAATTGCGCTCATCATGTTGTTCAACCATCACCATTATCCTTTTCCACATGTTTCCATCATTCATGACGGAAGCTGTTTCCCTTAACCAAGGAGCCCTCTTTTCCTCCTCCCTCCTGCCTGTCCCTGGATAAACTTTGATCTCTAATTCTAGATATTTTGTGTAAGTGAGGTGGTACATATTTGGCCCTTTGTGACTCACATCTTACTCAGCATAATATGTTCTAGGTTCAGCCATGTTGTAGCATGCAGCAGTGATGAACTTATTTCAAGTTAGATAGTAAAGAGGGTGGATCTTGTTTTTCTATCATCTAATTACATGAACATCGTTAAAATGAAAATTAGTGAAGTCTGAGGGATTAACAAGATAGTGGTTGGCTACTCCCTAGATGCGTATTTCTTGGTGACAGTAAGCCAGTATTTTGTGTGTTATCGTTGTTTTAGGAGGGCTGATCTCTGGTCTTGTGGGAGCTATTCAGCCTCAGCTACCAATGGCAAATCAATGTTGTTCATTGGTTACTAGAGGAACCCAGTAAAGGAATTCAGGTGCCTGCCTTCTAGTAATCTATCTTTTCTCCCAGAAAAAAAAAAAAAAAATGATCCAAACAATACCATCTACTGATGGAGAATCGGGAGCTTCATCTCTGAGATCACTTGTTTTGCAGACTTGAGGGCAAGATTCAACACTGCTTCTTCATAGAGCTTAGGCATGAAGGCCCTAAAGTGGCTGCAACACTAGCACGGTGTTAAAAATAACCTTTCCAATCTCTTTGGTTGTCTTCTTCTACCTATGAAAACACATAATAAAGTACATCGAAAAGGGGTCTAAACCTAAAAAAAGAACCTGATTCCAACTCATAGCAACCCTGTAGGACAGAGTAGAACTGCCCATGGGGTTTCCAAGGCTGTAAATCTTTACAGAAGCAGGCATCTGTCTACTGCGAAGCAGCAGGTAGGTTTGAACCACCAACCTTTTGGTTAGCAGGATCTAGACACTCTAAAATAGGAAGCATAACTTAATAAACAGAAGTAACAGACTACTTACACAAAGCTGAGAAATAATTAGATTTAGGATGGACAACCAAAAACCTCATGAGATTTGGTTTCGAGGTTTAGAAGTTTAGGATCATGGTTTCATGAGACATCCCAGTTAATTGACCTAACAGCATGCTTAGTGCCTCTATTCTACCTCCTAGCTTGATGCAGAGTACCTGGGGTCATAAAAGCCTTCAAGTGGCCATTCAAGGCACAATAACAACAACAAAACCAAACTCACTGCCTTTCAGTCGATCCTGACTCATAGTGACCCCTCCTTCGGTTTCCGAGGCAGTATCTCTATGGAAGTAGATTGCCCAGTCTTCCTTCCGAGGAGTGGCTGGTGGGTTTGAACCGCCAGCCTTCTGGTTAATGGTCAAATGCCTTAGGCACTATGCCACCAGAGCCTCCCATATTCTTAACAGCAACAAGTAAGTAAAATTATATATTAAAAAAAAAAAAGAATTACATTTAGAAATCGGATGAGCTTTGATCTGGTCACCATTGCTAGGAGATAGTAGTGCACACAAACAAGACTTGTTTCCATTGAGAGTTTGGGCTGATGTGTTTGTGTGGGTCGTTTACTTTCCCCTGCCGTGGCACGTGCAACCCTGCTCTTTGTCTTTCAGTTGCTACAAGGGGCAGCATCCTCTACTTCCTCATCACGGAGATGAGCTTGGTTAATGAGATGTATCAGACCTCACTGCGCCAGTTTCTTGGCTTGTTTGACCTTTCCTTAGCCAGGTAAGTCAATACCCAGGAAGCCAAGCTGAATTCTCTGCCTGGAGGCTGGAATGATGGCATTATGTTTGCAGCTTCCTTTCCCTTTGTTATTAAGAGTCTTTTCTTTTCTTTTTTAAATCCGAGATTAGTGTAATTGCCCGTGCATTAACAAATCATTCTGATTTGTCACTTTATGATTCCTTTGGTTTTATGTGCTTCTGTTAAAGGAGAAAATCCCTAAGACATTGTGAGCGCTAATGCCCTGTGGGAAGGATTGATTTAGACAATGGTGAGGATTCAGTTAGGTTATTTCATGGTGAGAGAATGCTTGTTATTTTAGATTTACGAGGCTTATTCTTGATGTGTATAAATAAGAATCATCCCTCCAAAGTTACTTATTCTCGGTTAAAGACATTGTTTTGGTGAACAATTGAAAAGGGCAGTCAGCAGGAGCAGCTTGATTTAAATGTTTCCCTTCTTCAGGTCTGTCAAGAGCCCAATTACAAGCAAGAGGATTGCTAATATCATCGAACACATGACCTACGAGGTCTATAAGTATGCTGCCCGAGGGCTGTACGAAGAGCACAAATTCCTGTTTACCTTGTTGCTCACCCTGAAGATCGACGTCCAGAGGAATCGCATCAAGCATGAAGAGTTTCTCACCCTGATTAAAGGTCACTCTCACAATAGACAATGTTGCACACAGGTGCAGAAGTGGGAGCTACTGGGAAGTTCTTTGCAGTGTTCTTTTCTGGCTGTAATAGTTTAACAATTTCCTCGCATTTCATTTAAGATTGCATTTGTTTGAGACATTTTCTTTATCCAGTGACTAGCTATTGGGAACCTGCTGTGTGCTGTAAGTCCTGGTGGTGCAGTGGTTAAGTGCTCAGCTGCTAACTGAAAGGGTGGCAGTTGGAACCCACCCAGTGACTCAAGGGAGAAACGTCCTGCCAATGTCCTTGCATAAAGATGGTTGATGTTGTGTGCTGTTGAGTCGATTCTGACCCATAGTAACCCTGAAGGACAGAGAAAAATTGCCCTGTAGGAAGGAAGGTTGGGCAATCTACCTCTGTAGTGATACTGCCTCGGAAACCCAAGGAGGGGTTGCCATGAGTCGGGTCCGACTTGACGGCACATAACAACAACAACAACAGTGTTTCCTAGGCTGTAATCTTCACAGGAGCTATATCTCCAGGTCTCTGGTGGGTTTGACTCGCCAACTTTTCTTTCGGTTATCAAGAAGCACTTAACCATTGCACCACCAGGGCACCTTTCCATAAAGATTGCTTCTGTTGATGTTAGGTCCCGTGGAGTTGGCTCCGACTAATAGTGACCCTGTGTGTAGTTGAATGAAACATTGCCTGGACCTGCACCGTCCACAATCTTTGCTATGTTTGACCCCATTGTTGCAGCCACTGTGTCAGTCCACCCTAGTGGACGGTCTTCTACCCTCTGACCATCCATTTTACCAAGTATGATATCCTTCTCCAGGGACTAGTCCTCTCTGATAACATGACCTAAGTATGTGAGATAAAGTCTTGCCTTTCTCACTTCCAAGGGGCATTCCGGCTATACTTCTTCCAAGACAAATTTGTTCATTCTTCTGCCAGCCCATGGTATTTTCAGTATTTTTTCCTAGCACCAGAGTTCAAATGCTTCAATTCTGCTTTGGTCTTCCTTATTCATCGCCCTGCTTCACATGCATATGAGGCTACTGAAATACCATGGCTTGGGTTAGGTGCACCTTAGTCTTCAAAGTGATGTCTTTGCTCTTCAACCCTTTAAAGAAGACTTTTGCAGCAGATTTGCTCAGTGCAATATGTTGTCTGATTTCTTGACTGCTGCTTCCATGAGTGTAGACTGTGGACCCAACTAAATGAAATCCCTGACAACTTCAGTCTTACCTCCTTTTATCATGATGTTGCTTATTGGTCGAGTTGTGAGGATTTTTTTTTCATATTGAGGTGTAGTTCATACTGAAAATGGTAGTCTTTGATTTTCATCAATAAGCATTTCAAGTCCTCTTCACTTTCAGGAACAAGGTTGTGTTATCTGCATATCTCAGGTTTTTAATGAATCTTCCTCCAATCCTGATGCCTCATTCTTCTTCATATTTGTCCAGCTTCTTGGATTGTGGCCTATGGGGCAGTACTGTTCTGTCATATGGAGTCACTGTGACTTAAAATGAACTCTGTGGCACCTAACAAAAATAACAACTGTTCACTGAGGCATGGACTAGGCACTTGGACTATATTAGTAAACAAAACAAAAAGGAAGCCTGTTCTTATAGTGTATACATGTATATACATACATGGAGGAAAGGCCTAGTAAGCTACTGGAAAACTAGCCATTAAACCCCCTGGGGAGCACAGTTCTACTCTGACACACGTGGGGTCACCATGAGAATGGACTCCATGGCAGCTGGTGGCGCTAGTGGTTAATGGAGGCATCCTCTCTGAGAGACTGACAGACAGGTGAGGAAAGACTCCAAGGAAGAGAGGAAGCTGGCCATGGGTTGTCTGGAGGAAGGGCCTTGGAGGCAGAGGGGATGGCACAGATGTCTCGAGGTGGGAGCATGCCTTGAATGGTTGAGGGAAAAGAAGGCAGACAGTGTGGCCATGCAGAGTCAGTGAGGTGAGTGCTGATGCCATGTTCTGGGTGTTTATTCCATATGTGAAAGCATTGCTCACAGACACATTCCCTGTTCCACTGGATAATACAGCCCACTGGAAGGCTGGGAAACATTGACTCACTCTCATATTCCTGAGTGTCTGGGAATAAATATTTATGCTCACATTGTGAAGATAATGCTAGCATCAAAAGGGCTTTGTTTAGTCTATCTACCATGAAAGGCTTCTAAACAAGACCTCTAAAGATGAGACAAATCTAGCTATCTATTTATTTAAAATAATAGGTATTTATCTGTCTATAAATCAATCTGTTTTCCATGCCTTCACCTGGAAAGTGTGTTTGCAAACCCACTTGAAGACTACTCCTCTGGAGGTAGCAGGGAAAGGATGTGGATGGGTACATGCTGTGCCCTGGTTCTGTAGGTCCACATTCAGACTTATGGATATATAAATGCACTTTCATATTCTTATACATAAAATCTTAGAGTAGCCACAAAGACTTATTTGGTTAGACTTGAACTTAGAAATGTTTAATTTATGGATGATTCCATCTTTCTCTCCCTGTGTATCTCTAACCTTAGTTCTTTAGCCACCTCTTACTTTTATTCTCCACATTTTCTAAATTGGAACATGTGATCTGGAACACCTTAGCTAGACCTGTAAGAGTAGGAGTTGCTTTCCTCAATAAATCATTAATACGTTACTTGTCTCTGTTCTTAGTGATTCTAATCTCCAGCTAGTCCTCAGCATCTTCCTTTCAGGCATGACATGCATTTCTCCATGGAAATACCATGGACCACAATATTCAGGTCTGATTGCCATCCTGTAAAGCATCTTCTGGCTTGGAAGATAATCACAAATACAGACTTCAGAACTAGGCAGATGAGAGTTAATAGCGGCTTTGACACTTTCTTGCTGAGTGATCTTGCCAACTAGGTTATCTAACTTTTTCAAGCTTCAGCTTCCTCATATGTAAAACAAGGATAATAAAATCAACATAGTATGGTCATTGGGAATTACATGTATTTTCAATAAATCCTTGCATATGGAATATGCTTAGCAAATGATAGTCATAGCTATATCTTTAATCTGACACTTGTATAGTTTGGACTGATTTTTTGAGGAGTCCTTTGACATTCAAAGACTATAACACTAACCCTGAAACAGTTTCAAAGGAAACATAATTCTATTTGAAACACAATCATAATTATGATTGCCCTTTGATAAGTTAGGTTGGTGACAGTATCTCTTTGACATGAACTCCCTCTGTGTGGACTTTAACATCACATATTTAAATAGCAGCAGTGTTTGGAGATTGGTCTTTTAATTTTTCATCTGTAAGATGGAAATGGAGAGGACTTCCGGTAAGATGGAGGAATAGGCAGACATGTGACACAGACCCTTGTCAACAAAGAAAACAAAAACCAATTGACAGAGATACAGAAGATAATCCTAGAGCCCTGAGCTTTGAAAGAAACTATGCAGAAGTGGATTAGGCACCAACTAGTAAAAAAATGTGAACGAAAACAGTGAGTATAGAGATGGTCAGAGCTGTGGACTGTCAGCTACTCTGATGCTACCAACAGCCTGAATATTTCCAAGTGCTGTTGGGACCTGAGAATTGACCTAAAGATCAACCGTGGCCACCAAGGGCTTCAGGGATGACTGCACTGGTGGCCTGTGACTAGGAAGGGAAACAGCAAGGAGGGAGAAAACCTAAGCTGTGGATTTTCCATTGTCTGGAAGGTGCAGCCATTTTAATTGTTTACACATGGAAGCCATTTTGAATGTTTATAAATAGCAGCCATTTTGGATATTTAAAATGACCGAGGGTGCAGCCATTTTGAATGTTTACAGGTGGTGGCCATTTTGGATATTTAAAGTGACCAAGGGTGCAGCCATTTTGAATGTTTACAAGTAGCTACCATTTTGGATTTTAAAGTGATAGCATTCCCATTTAGATTCTAGGGACTAAGAATAAGCTCTGTTTGCCAAGATTGGCAGGGACATATGAGAGGCTGACAACAGGAAAGGAGACAGATGGTGAGTGTATAAGTGCTGTCAGCTAGTGAATAGAGGATCATAGGACTCTGCTTGTATAGATAATATACAAAGAAAACCAAAATCATGGGCAAGTCACTCCAACATAAAATCACCAATTAAATATAAACACAAAAATGTCACAATGCCTCGGAGACAACAGAGCATCACAGTCCACACAAAGAAGCAAGATAAAGCAGGAGAAACAAGGGAC